TCTCGAGCTTGTCTTAGCAACTTTGCTCTATCTGCTTCAACTTTCGCCCTCTCTCTCTCTTTCTCTTTTTCCAGCCTCTTCCCCTTCTCAATCTCACTCTCTATCTCTCCCGGTGGGTCTCTCTTTATCTCGCTCTCTCCTGTCTCTCTTCTTCTCTCGTCTTCCCTCTCTCCTCTCTTCTTTCTCTCTCTCTCTCTCTCTCTTCTTCTTCTCTCCTCTCTCTCTTCTCTCTCTCTCTTCTCTCTCTCTGTCTCTTCTGTCACGCTCGCTAGCGAGCTCCCGCCGTTCACCGTTCTTTCCTCCACAAAATCTCGTCGGTCTTCGTCACGTGACTCGTGAGCCGACATCTCCAGTGATTAACGACCTAGACACGTGGCGCCGCCTGGCGACCGACGGATGGTTTGTCCTGGCCGCCGCTAGATGGCGCTGTCCAGTTTTTTTTTCTATTTCTGGCGGGCGAAGATTGGGATGAGATGTGGGTGACGTCACTGCCGTTGGGGGAGGCGGCGTCGGGGCGTGGCTGTGGGTGGGGGTTGGTGGGTGGGTGGGGGTTTGGATGATGCTCCTTACCAATTGACTCTGCATGGCTGCGTTGTCCTTACTCTGCATGGTAGAATTACCCCCCCCCCCCCACAATGTTTCCCTACCCCCCAATTTCAGTCCTACCCCACACTGTCCCTACCCAACCCCCAACCCCCCAATTTCCGTCTCACACACACCCACCCTCAGACCACCCCACCCTCCCCATTGACCATACCTGCATGGTAGACTCCCCCCCCCACTCCTCCTCGCATGTTACTGTGAAGTTACGTAGGTAGGTATGCCTGCAGCTGCTATATATATTCGGTGGTAGAGGTAGCGGTAGTGGTAGAGGTAGCGGTAGTTGCTTGCTTTCTCTTAGGCTCTGATGTTTACTTGACGTATTGCGTGCAAATACTGCGAGACAGATGTGTGTTTGCAGGTGGAATGCCCCCCCCACCGTGAAGTGCTGAAATATACCTTATATAGACATCTAATTATGTGCAGAGTCCTTACCTGGTTAAATAGACACCTTACCTGCCCACATACCCTTTATATAGACACCTGCTGATGTGCAGAGACCTTACCTGGTCATATAGACAGCACTTGATTATATATATATATATATACAGGATATAGGCCTATATATATAAACAGGTCAGCTGTCTATATGACCATCTACCTTACCAGCTTATATAGAGAGTCCTTACCTGGTTGTATACATATCAGGAGTAGATCATAGGGATTCCCTATTATCTACTCCTGATACATATATAATAGCCTTCCCTATCTCATGTCCCCATATGCCTTCTTCTACCTGGGTAGAGAAGTGTTACTTTTGCCCGTGCATTCTTCACCTGAATTCTACATCTGGACTCGCAGTAAGTGTGCGCATGCGTGGTCGGTAGGTCAGCTGAGCATGTGTGCATTTGTTAGTTAAGCGCACGCGTCTTTGTATCATAACTCATCGTCAATAATCAATTAATAATTATCGTTATAAATATAATTATAATAAGGTATTATTGACCTGGTTATATTATATTATTAACCAGTTCGATTCGAAAATGCTTGGTCAAGATTCGCGATTAGTACGTAGCGATGTTCGTACGGAGTTTTTCAACTAGAAGAAAAAATTCAACTTTTCGCTCGCATGCGCAATTTCACGCATGGGTTTCGCTCTCTCGATCCGCGTTTTTCGAATGAGCAATACGCGCCCATCATCCGCGTTTATGGTCTAACCGATGGCTGCGTCCATGTATTTGATTGTCACACACTTCATTACACCAGCATGTATTTTTTTCGTTTACATCGTAACTTCTTGTTTTCTGTATAGGCCTATCGATGGTGATTCAGATGTTTGCGTTTTTGGAATTATTCGTTTGGGAATAATTTCTGCATGGAAGCGGACGCGGGTTTCGCTAAGAATCGACACACGCGTGGGGTCTATGACGACGGTGACGTGGATCTGTGACGTATGTGTGACGTCACAGGAGTGTTTTTTTCCGCCCGGGCGAAGGAGAGTGAGAGTGTGTGAGTGTGAGAGCGAGAGAGAGAGAGAGAGAGAGAGAGAGAGAGAGAGAGGTGTGAGGAGATGAGACGAAGAGAGTGTGGAGTGTGAGCAGCGATCGAGAGAGACGAGAGAGAGAGAGAGAGAGAGAGAGGAGAGAGAAAGAGAGAGAGAGAGCGAGAGGGAGAGCGAGAGACGAAGAGACGAGAGAGGAGGATGAGAGAGAGACCTAGATCGAAGGCCGTACTGTGTTCTTGTTTTCGAATGTTGTTGTTCGTTGCATTTACGTTTCATTGCACGCCAAGCCCTCGGAAATGCCTAAATCGCGGCATCTTTAGTGCTAATTAACCTGTCAGCCAAAACGTTCGCGTGGCTGATTCAACTCGTTCTCAAGCGAACTTGTGGTCGCTAAGTCTAACGGTTTCCAATAGGAATGGAGAATATTGCTTTTGGGAAAACACAGGAGACTCCAAACCATTGGCATAGGTGCGGGGCAGACGGCCTAACTGCTCCTAAGGCGACATCTGAACTGGCTATAACGGTACTATTCGGCTAGAAATGTCTATTGATGTTCCTATCCCCGAAAAGGAAATCTCAGTAGTAGAGTCTAATCATTTTAAGCTAGGAACCCACCCTCCCCACCTTTTTGGCCCGCCTACACTACACCCCTAGCCCACATGACAGGCATTTCAGCGCATCGGAGCAAGAAACACACTCTGCAGTAACGAGATGACGTGTCGCCTCACTTACGGCTGACGTCAATCGCAAGAAGATCGAAGACGTCCCCCGCCAATCCGAGAAGAATCTGAGCGTAGTAGTCACGCGATGAACGCACCACCTATAGGCGGCTGCGGGCGGAATATGAGCGTTGCTTGCTGCTGCCGCGAGCCTTACAAGGCGATTCTTCTCTTCATCATCATCATCTTCTTCTCTTCGTTTCTTCGGCCGGATGTAGCGACGTCTAAAGAGAGACTGTCTTCTAATCGATGCTTTGCTCTGTCGAAAGTGAATCACTCGCCCGCACAGGTGTGCGGCGCCACGCACGCGTGTACGTGCACGCACGAGCAGTAAGCATCCATTGTGTGAAGCGTCGACTTGCGCCATGCATGGCTGACCACTCCCCTCGTTGTTACAGGCCAGTTTTCTCCAGTCCCTCAGTAGATTATCATATTGCACTCGTTCATTCCCTCACCGATCTATCTTATGACAACTCATATTTCATGGACTAAATATTATAATCATATATAATGATTATGATTATTAATGTATATATATAGTATATGTAATATAATATATATGTATATGAACTATACTAATTGCATATAGCTTGTTCATACCATAATCTGTGATATTTTGTTTTTGTTTGGTGCGTCGTCGTGTTCGCTTCTTTCATGGAATGAGAGTCGCGTCACCATGGTTACCGTGGGCGCCATATTGCATTGACCGCATCACCGCATAGACTCGCAAGGTTTTGTTCTTTGTCATTTTTCTCTACGTTTTTGCATGTTTTTCAGTTCTCTCGTTTTTGCATGGATTTTTAGTGTCAAGTGTGCGTGTGCATGTGTTTCCACAGTGCGCATGCGTGGCACGACTTGGTTCTACATCGGGCATGGGTGGTGCGGGCTTTCCTTGCTCCACAGGGTGTGGTCGAGACGAGGTCACCCAGAGGTCATGGAATCCCGTCGTTTGACGTAACCGGTAAAACTTCGTCGCTAAGACGCGATCATACGTCATCAGGCACTCTTACGTCACGCTGTCGTCTTTTTTTCTCGTCGGTGAAAGAAGGGGAAATGATGAAAAACGCATCTTCCTCTCTTGGCTTAATTCACACGTGATATTTGTTCCCACGTGATGCTTAAATGCTATCGTCATCGTCGTCGCCGTCAGCGCCGTCGCCGCGCTGTCGATTTTTTGTAAAACCCGCGCGTTCATCGCTACCGTGCGGGAGTGTCTCCCTCTATCGTCTGCGAAAACAATGATTATGCTCTTTACAAGTAATTGCCGTTGTGTGCGTGTTTTTTTCCGTTATTTCTTTGTTTGTTTTGCTAATTCTATTCTTGTTTACGTTACACACGCAGGGAGTGACGTATCATCCGATTGAAGGTCACACTGGAGTTCCGTTTAAGTAACGATGATGCCCCCCTGGTGGCCGGATGATGCGAATCACGTGACGCATCGCCACTTGTTTCGTATCTTGCCGCGCGCATTGTCACGCGAGACTTGTCGTACTTTTTTGAAATAATAAAAAAAATGTCTGTAATGTAATGTAATTCATTCTAGGGTAAATATATATGTTTATATAATATGTATATGTTTATGTATATATATATGTACATGTACATGTATATGTATATGAATATGTACATGTATATGTATATATGTACATGTACATGTATATGTATATATGTACATGTACATGTATATGTATATATGTACATGTACATGTACATATATCAATTGATTCTAATGATAAGTGAATGTGCTCCCACCAAATATTAGATATCTGCACATGCAGACTACACAGCTGTGTTGCTCGATCCTTGCTTCATCCACGAGAAAAACATATTATCACCATAGAATACCACACCATAGAAAAACCAATTCTTAAATATGAATAATAATCAAACAATCTAAGTGAATCTAACAATCTAATAAAAAAACTATCGTAGGCGTTTATTTTTGTTGTTTTTTTATGGCCGGAAACTCTGGATGTGTTAGACCTAGAGCTTCTCAGGTTTCAAGCGAAGAAAACGAGTTTATTTTTTCTCTCGCTTCAAGCGGTGAAAGCGAGTTTATCTCACCACGCTTCAAGCGCCAAAAAGAATAGCAAGGGTCGAGTAGTACACAGCTGGCGATTACTGAGTAGTAGATGAGTGAGTGAGTGAGTGAGGCGAGAGCGCCGTATTAGTAGTAGATGTTTGCGTGTTTTTCGCGATTTATTTTTTTGGTCTCACGCGGTAGTTATGAAAAGGGAAATATGATAATAATATGACATATATATATATCTATGTGTACATAATAGAGATCTCTATTATGTACTCTTGATATATATCTATGTGTACGTGTGTACGTGCGTTCGTCTAATATTGAATTTTCGCTGTTTTTCTTCTTTTCTTTCTTTCTCTTTAATGTATCTTAATCAGTATGTTTGGCTGGATGGATGGAAGGAGGATCTTGAGCGAGATTGAGGGATCATGATAGGAACACATTTTTAGATTTAATTAAAATTGTCCACAGTT